GAACGTTCTCCGAGTAGCGGTCGCCATCGGGAGTGACGATGATCCACACTCCGGACCTCACCTCCGCCAGCGCTACCCGCTCGTGCCAGTAGGTGTCGTCCTCATACCACAGAGCGAACCGCTTGCCCGGTCCGAGCTCACGCATAAACTCCTCCTCCTGCACGGCGAGGCCGCTGGAGGAGAACAGCTGGAACTTCCTGTTCGACAACATGGCGACGACGGCACCTCTCGGTCAGCCGACCCACCACGTCTCTCACGGCTCCGCCGACGACGACCCACAGGAGCGGCCAGGCGTGCCAGGCCGCCTCGAGCGCCGTCTGCAGCAGCGCCAGCTGCTCCTCCAGGCGGACCGCCGTCGAGCGGATCTCCGCCAGCTCCTCGGGCACCTCGCACACTCCGAGAGCAGAGCCCCCGGGCGGCCCCGGGTCCGGAGCCCCTGCCGCCGACACGCAGTCGGGGCAGACCAGCGCCGGGCAGAAGGGGGCCGGGCACACCGGCTGCGGGCAGGTGGGCGTGGGCGCTGAGCCAAAGATCCCTAGCACCACTGCCACATGGACCGCCACCGCCGCCGCGGCAGCCAGGGGCCCGCGCGGGGGGCCCATGCGAGCGAACCTATGAAAGCTTGAGCGAATATATAATGGAATACAGGGGAGCACGGTGAACACGTCGTTGGGCCCCTCAATCCCGTGCCCGTTTGCAGGCACACTCCGCACTAACATTGGATTTATTAACCCTGCACTGCGGATCTGCGTAAGGGGTGCCACGGAATTTCAGAACTGTGACACATCCCCTTGATGTTGGACCCTGGCCCCGCCGATTTGCGTCAGAAATGTGGCAAATCCCATTTGTTTTTGGGCCCTGGCCCCGCCGATTCGCATAAGGGGTGCCACCGAATTTGAATAATGTGACACATCCCTTGTGTTTTTGGACCCTGACCCCGTCGATCTGCGTCAGGGGTGCCACCGGATTCCAAAATCCCTTATGTGTTTCGACCCTGACCCCGCCGAGTTGCGTGAGGGGTGCCACCGAATTTCAGAACTGTGACACATCTTTTGTGTTTTTGGACCCTGACCCCGCCGATCTGCATGAGGGGTGCCACCAAATTCCAAGAATGTGGCGCATCCCTTTTGTTTTTGGACTCTGGCCCCGCCGATCTGCGTGAGGGGTGCCACCGAATTTCAAAAGTGTGGCAAATCCCATGAGTTTCTGGACCCTGACCCCGTCGATCTGCATGAGGGGTGCCACCAGACTTTCAAAATGTGGCAAATCCCATGTGTTGTTGGACCCTTGGGCCGTCTTGGGGGCCTCTTGGGGCGATCATGCGGCCCTCTTGGGCTGTCTTGTGGGCCTCTTGGGGGCCTCTTGGGGTGACGTCGGAGGCTTCTTGGGCAGTCTTGGAGTGTCGGCCGCTCGAAAACGTGAGAAGCAACAAATACTGGAAACACGCCATGAAAATCAATGATTTTGGCGTCTTGGGGCTCTCTTGGAGGTCCTCTCGGAGCGACCTTGGGGCATCTTGGGGGCCTCTTGGGCCGACCATGGGGCCATCTTGGGCGGCTTGGAGCTCTCTTGGGCCGTCTTGGCGGCTTCTTGCCGTCTCCAGAAGCCTAGGTGGACGCCACGGGGTACCGGAAAAAGTTCCGGGACTCCGAACACGGGCACCTGGATGCCAATAAGGCCCCCGCAGCCCAGGGGGCAAATTCGGTTACGGGGGCGGGGGGGGAGTTTGGGCAAATTCGGTTACGCCGCTTATATTCTATACTCTTTACTATAATCCGCCGGCGCCCTTTTGGGGCCACCAGGCTGTAGGCCGAGATTGTGCTGCTCCCTGTGCCAATTGAAGCTTCCAGTTTCCACTGTTACAGTTCTGCTTCTTGCTGCTTACTCTTCCTTGTTGATGAACGCGCGAGGGAGGGGGGGAGCCCAAACCAGCAGAACTACCACGCCCCGGGAGGGTTCTCAGAATTTCTGAGGGGGGGTAAAAATTCACACCTCTCACGCAGATCCGCAGGGTCAGGGTCCAAAAACAGAAGGGATTTACAACATTTTTGAACTTGAGTGGCACCCCTCACGCAGATCGGCGGGGTCAGGGTCAAAAACAAATGGGATTTGCCACATGTCTGAAATTCGGCGGCACCCCTCACGCAAATCGGCGGGGTCAGGGCCACAAAACACAGGGGATGTGAATCTGTTTTTAATAATTCGGATGCACCCCTCACAAAAATCAGCGGTGTAACGGTCCAAAAGCACAAAGGATTTGCAAAATTTCTGATATTCGGCGGCACCCCTCACGCAAATCGGCGGGGTCAGGGCCATAAAACACAGGGGATGTGCCACATTTGTTTTAATTCGGCGGCACCCCTCACGAAAATCGGCGGTGTAACGGTCCAAAAACATAGAGGATTTGCAACATTTCTGAGATTCGGTGGCACCCCTCACGCAGATCGGCGGGGTGAGGTTCAAAAAACATACAGGATTTGTCACATGTCCCAAATTCGGTATCACCGCTCACGCAGATCGGCGGTGTCAGGGTCCAAAAACACATAGGATGTGCCACATTTCTGAAATTCGGTATCACCTCTCACGCAGATCGGCGGTGTCAGGGTCCAAGAACACATGGGATGTGTCATATTTCTGAAATCCGGTGGCACCCCTCATGCAAATCGGCGGGGTCAGGGTCCCAAAACAATGGGTTTGGTTGCACCCCTGAGGCAGATCGGCAGGGTCAGGGCCCAAAAACACAGGGGATGTGTCACATGTCTCAAATTCGGTGGCACCCCTCATGCAAATCGGCAGGGCCAGGGTCCAAAAACACATGGGATGTGCCACATTTCTAGAAATTCGGTGGCACCCCTCACACAAATCGGCGGGACCAGGGTCCAAAATCAAGGGGATGTGCCACATTTCTGAAATTAGACGCGTTCGGTGGCGCCCCTCACGCAGATCGGCGGGGTCAGGGTCGAAAAGCAAACAGGTCCCGACACTGCTTCACGGCGGGGCCTTGACCTCATGATTTAGCTTTTGCATCTCCCATTATCCGAGACAGGGGGCCCGCGGCATGGCGCGAAGCCCTTACGGATATGTATCCTCCCTATCCCCCCTGGAGTCACGCCACATCGGCGGGTCAAAATGGCAGCCTCCCCTCTAAGGGCCAGACGCGTACCCAAACTTATAGAAAATCTATGATATAGGCATCTGGAGTCACTTGGGGGCCAGACGGCTCATTGCTGCCTGTAAACAGCCCCGGGACGGCCCCAAGAGGGCCCCCAATATGACCCCAGAGGGACTCAATGGGGCCCCCAAGAACACCTCCAGAGGCCAAAGACATTCACATTCCTCAGGGAGTTGAAGAAAGTTGTCGTGCTCTTACCTCTGACATTCTCGGAGGCCCACGACGACCCAAGCTGCCTCCAAGATGGCCCCACGACAGCCCCAGAGGCCCCAAGAGGGACCCAAGAGGGCCCACAAGACGGCCCAAGAGGGCCCCGAGACGGCCCCAAGACGGCCGAAGAGGGCCCCGAGATGGCACAAAGAGCCCCCCCCAGGCGGCTCAAGAGATCCCCAATGCGGCCCAACAGGGCTCCGAGAGAGCCACAGGGTTGCCCCGAGAGGCCCCCAAGACGGCCTCCGAAGTGGCTAGACAGCTCCAGAGCGCCCCAAGACAGCCCAAGAGGCCCAGAGGCCCCAAAGAGGCCCCAAGAGGCCCCCAGGGGCCCCCAAGAAGCCTCCAAGAGGCCCCCAAGAGGCCTGCAAGAAGCCCCCAAGCGGCCCGAAGGGGCCATCAAGAAGCCCGCGGAATTGCTCTGCTCATCGGAGTTTGAACTTGGCGTTGCCTTGTGCTGACACGCGGCGAATGCTCATTGCCCTCGTGGGCATTTGCACGTTAGTCCTGAGGCTGAAACGCAAGGGAGGGGAGCGCATCCCGCTCCCGTGGCGCTGGCAGCGCCCCTGGGCGGGCAGAACGACACGGCAGAGCAGCCCGACAGACGAGCAGGGCAAACCACCCAACGCCCAATCTTCAGATGCTCTGGACGTGTACCCAGCGAAACGGAAGAAACCTGACAACCAAATGGATGTAGGGCGGCTCCTTCAAAATATGGATCTCGCGCGACGGTCGTCGAACTATAATAACCCTGTGTAGGGTGCCAGCTAAGGAAACAGGACGCAGGGAACGTTTAAAATTAGCTGTCGTCCGCTGGGGGAAATTTATGAAGCAGAATAATCACAGAGCTCATTATCGACCACGACGCCCACGAGCAGGCCCAGAACCCCATGTATGAATCATCGCCCAAAGAGTCGATGTGTGACGGTCCCTTCGGGTACGTCTTCATCATCCTCCTACGATGCCTCCTTCCACATCTTACACATGGACGGATTGCGGGCGAATCCTTTTCAAAACAGGACTCTCGCCTGACCAGCAGCCCCATGGGGCGCTCGCCTTTCAAAGGGGCGCTTCTCGCAGCGAGAAAGAATGCATGTGGGGACTTATGAAGGGGGCTTAGGACGGGGGTGCGCATTGCAGCCTCACTGCTGCGTCTGAAGACTACTACGGACTGCGGTCGAGAACTTCTGCTTAGCGTTGCGCACCGACGGCCCTGGAGACACGCCACGACCTGTGACCTGATAGCGTGTCGCTCCGCTCCGCGCGGCAGGAAGCTGGGACAAGCTCGAGACCTTGACGCCTGGAAAGGGGGACATGGGCAGCACGTCGCGCCGAAGCGTGGTGGGCCAGAGCCAGTGTGCCACAAGGCTTCCCTCGCGCTTGTAACAAAATGTGGTGGGCCAGAACCGGCGGCGCGAGACGCTAAGCAGAATTTTCTGACCGTGCTCTGGTCCCACTCCTCCTTTTCCTCATCCTTTTCTTGACCAAACCGCGGGAGCGAGCGCTCGAGGCGTCCCTCTTCCTCCTCCTCCTCCTCCTCCTCCTCCTCCTCCTCCTCCTCCTCCTCCTCCTCCTCTCCTATCGTCCGACACTCCGCGCCACACCTCCCGCCCGTCTCCTGCATGCCGGTCTGCACCACATAACCCTTGCTGAGGCCCTTCATGGCGTAGGTTTCACCGGTCACCTGGCGGCAGGCGGCCCCAACTCCCCGACTCCCCTTACTCCTCCTTCTCCTGGATACGCCTCCTCTCGTTCTCCTCCTCCTTCTCCTCCTCCTCCTCCTCCTCATCCTCGAGTCCTCTTCCTCCTCGCAATCCTTCTCCCCCCCTCTGCCTTCTCCTCCTCCTCCCCCCTTTCTTCTTCTTCAGAGCCCACCTCTGGAGACCTGCGGTCCCTCCAGAGACCTCCACCTCCTGCTCCTCCTCCATGCCCTTCTCCTCCTGCGCCTCCTTCTCCATCCCTTTTCTAAGTAACTCCTCAATGTCGCACCCCTAGACGTGTCGGTAGGGCTGCCTGGGCGTTTCGCCTGAGCCTTCTTCACCATTCAGGATCCTGAAGCTTGAAGGGCGGGCGGTTTTCAAATATGTCTCTCGCCTTAGCACCGCGCGCATTCGATTGGAAAACCTGCAACAGTTTCCAGGATGGAGGGCGGTTCGCTTTGAAAATTGGGCTCTCGCCCTAGCGCCGTGTGCATTCGTCGTGAGTTTCTACAGCAGCTTCAACGATGGAGGGTGACTGGGCTTCAAAAATTGGCTCTCGCCTTGGCGCCGCGCGCATTCGTCTTAGAAGGTTGCAATACCTTCGGGGATGGAGGGCGGCTGTTTTGCAAACTGTGGCTCTCGCCCTAGCGCCGCGCACACTCGTGTCAAAAGCTGGCGGCTGCAAGCGCCGCGCACCCTCGTGTTTAAAAGCTGGCGGCTGCTTTTCAAAATGTAGCTCTCGCCCCAGCGCCGCGCACATTCGTCTCGAAAGTTTGCAGCAGTCCTTCAGGAATCGTATGGTCGACGTCTCAGGAGGTGAACTCTGGCACGACTTAGGGATGCTGGGACGCAACAGTCAAGCGGATTCGCTGCGGTGAAAGGCGTTCTGGCACGATGTAATCACGCTGGTTCGCAGCGTTGGCATCCCAGGAATTGCGTTTTGGCTTGATTGGGGGTTCTCTAATGGTTGTCTTCGAAGGGGGCAGGAACCTGTTAAGAAGGACCTCGGGATGAAGGTTGACTGCAGGATCCATCCGCGAGGGACTCGAGGCCCGAGACCGGGCGAACCCGCCCCACGGTGAAAAAAACAGGACCAGGTCTCAGGGTCCTCCCCTTACCACTGCCACTGTGACTACACACGACCCTCAACCGCAAGTAATTCACGCAACTGCTCGTCATCGGGGCTGCCACCACAGCGGCAGGCTGAACGCGCGACCGCGGGACCAGCCTTGTGCTCCCACAGCTCGACCGCGCCGAAGCCCCCGCAGCCCAGCAGCCCGACGCGCGTCAGATCCTGTGCCGGATGCACGACAGGAGTGGCCCTGGGCAAAAGGTGGGCCTCGGTGCGCGCCTTGCCGATCGTTGCATGCGATGAGACCGTAACGGCATGCAGGCGTGGGCTTTGCCCTCGCCCCCCGTGCCCACCGAAAGCAACGCCGGGCGGAATGGTGTTTTCAAACGCGAAGACTTATCCTGAGACCATGCTTCTGGTGTGCGCCTCCGGGCTTGGGGACCGTCAATTGTCTTTGTGCGACTCTTTTGGGACCAGTCAAAAAGATCCGGGACGGTGATCAAAGTCGAGACCTCTGGAGCCCTCGGATTGAAACACTCGCGTCGTCGGGTGTCAGAGGCCGCGACCTCCCTCCGACGCATCAGCCGTCCTCGGCTCGTCGCTCGCTCACGGTCACGTTCTGCTGCTTCCTCTTCCTGGACTCCAGACCAAACCAGGCCGACTCTAGCCCATGCGGCTCCGAGCAAACTCACCCCCCCCTCTTGCGCGTCGTGCTCCGCTTCCTTCTCCTAACCTCTGGGTCTGCCTCATCAAACTCCAACACCTTGCTCTCATCCTCATCCTCCTCCCTGTACGAGTTGTTGTCTTCCTCCCATTCCCCGTAAACCCATTAGCACCATGATCATCATCACAATCATGATCCTCATGCCCACAACCATGACCATGACCATCACCACAATAACCACAATCACTACCATTGCTACCATCACATCATGTCAGAGCACAGCATGTCGCAACACATCGCATACCATCATATCACGCCATAACAGTCTGTAACATGTCATATCATAGCGTATCATATCGTATCATACCAGATCATGCCACACCATAGCATCATCATCATCACCATCATAACCATCATCATCGCCACAATCCAGATCATCACCATCATCATCAGCATCATCACCATCATCGTCAGCAGCATCACCATCGCCATGGTATCGTCGTCATCATCATCAGAATCATCAGCATCATCATTATCATCGCCAGCATCACCACCATCATCAGCAACATTATTTTACTCGTCATCGGCATCGTCATCGCCATGATCATCGTCACAATCACCATCAACATCACCATGACCATCATCATCGTCATGAGCATCACGCCCAACACCATCACCATCAACATGATCACCACAATCACCACTATCGCCATCATCATCATCATCAGCATCATCATACTAATCATCAGAATCACCGTCGGTATCATGTCCATCATCACCGTCACCACCAACATCATCACAATCACAATCATCATCAATCGCGTCAACAGCATCACCATCACCATCAACATAATCAACATCACGATCATCAACATGACCATTAACATCATCCGCATCATCACCATCTCCAGCATCACCCCTACCGTCATCATCAAGAACAGCAGCATAATCATCAGCATCAGCACCAGCGTTAGCATCATTATCGGCATCATCATCATCATCATCACCATCGCCATCGCCATCACCATCACCATCATCATAGTCATATTCATAATCATCATCATCAGCATCATCAGCCTCACCACCACTATCATAATCACCATCAGCATCACCATCATCGCCATCAAGAACATTATCATCATCGCCCTCACTCCTGAGGAGTGAGGGCGATGCGGACGCCTCCTCCCTCATGCTACTCCAACGTAAGTTACTGCTCCTTCTCCTCCTCCCTATCCCTCCACTTCCTTGTCCTTCTCCTGCTGCAACTCCTCCATATCCTGCTCCTCTTGCTCTTCTTCCTCATGCTTTCGCTTGTTCCGCCTCCCTCCCCGCCTCTCCCCCTTTCTCCCTGCCACCGACTCCCCCTCCTCTCCTCCATATTCCATCCCCCGCCCTCCTGCCCACCTGCCTCCCTCCACTTTCTCACTCCCCACTCTCGTCCCCACCCCCGTTGCCATCCCCTCTGCCCATGCCCCCGTCCTTCTCCTCAACGCTCCGTCCGACAAGCCCCTGGCGTTCCGGGCTCGGCTCCCAGGCCCTGCCACGGAGCCGCGGCAACCACCCGCAGAAACGCGGCGCTCAGTATCTTGTAACCGCGAGGAGTAACTAAACATTCGTGCAGGTCCACATCCTGTCTCAACCCTGCGCCGTCCTCCTCCTCCGATCTTTCTCTGCTTTTCTAAGAGAGGGGGTGAGAGGGTAGGAGCGAGGTGGATGTGTGGCGTTGCCCCCCTCCGCGATGGATGGTGCCACCTGGACCCCTTGACCGCTTCCCCAAGAGCCTTGACGTGCCCGAGGCCCGAAGAAGCTGGCCGCTCTCTCTCTCTCGCTCGCTCTCTCTCTCTCTCTCTCGTTTTGTTTTTTTTGTTTTTTCTCTCTCTCTCTCTCTCTCTTTTTTTTTTTTCTCTCTCTCTCTCTCTCTCTCTCTCTCTCTATATATATATATATATATACACACCATACCCGCCGAAGTGCGGATGGAAGTGAGGGATTGCTGTGGTCTCGGCGCGACGCGCTGTGAACTGGAACACTGCGCGCGGCGCCTTGGCGCCTGCGGAGCCGCAAAAAACCAAAGAGATCACGGATAGACGTCACTTTCCTCAACGGACAAGGGACAACGAACCCCGAGCGCAGAACTGGCGTCCGAGCCAGGGCGGCTACGAAGATCTTTGCACGAATTCCCGAGCCCCAACCAGGGGCTCTTGTTGGGATTGTGGTCGGACCTGCCCTCCCCAAGACTTCGGGGGGATGGGTATATTAGCTCCCGCTCGAGAACAGACGGGCACCGAGCCTGGAGAACAAATGCCGCACCTGGCCGCATGTACGAGGCTGAAACTCGGGGGGGAATTTCGCCCCCCTCGGAAATGTAGATCTGCTGATGCCTACTGCAATGCAAACAATTAAAATTTTGAGCGTGCATTTCTGTGCAGCCAAGACCAGCGCCACCAATGCGCCCCCACGGCGCCGCATGCCCCCCTGCACGGGTTACTGAAACAAATTCAACGAAGCATACAATGAGGAAGCCCGCCGCAGGCGAAGATTTTTCTAGTTTTCAGCGTTGCTGCATCTCTGCGCGAACAAGACCAGCGCCACCCGTGGGCCCTGCGGCGACGAGCCCCCACGACGCCGCGGGCCCCCCAAATGGGCAACTAGAAAAAGTTGAACGGAACATTCAATGCAGAAGCCCGGCCGGGCCCCACACGACTGGCGCCACCCGTGATCCCCCCGGCGACGGGCCCCCGCAACGCCGCAAACCCCCGGCGGTGGGCCCCCCGCCCTACGCGTGGGACCCCGAGGCCGGGCCCCGCCGGGCGCCCCCCCCCCCGGCCCGGAAAGAAGAAGAAGAAGAAGAAGGATACTAATAAGAATCAGAAGAAGACGATAAACGCGACGATGCCTGCCCCGAAGCAGCCAACGCGCGCACGACTTGAAATGGATTCGCGTGAGCGCGACCCCCTCGCTCCGATATTATATACAAAGTAGGTATACACATATGTATGTGCGCAAACGTAATATGGTGCACATATATATATATATAGAGAGAGAGAGAGAGAGAGAGAGAGAGAGTGAGAGAGAGAGAGAAAGATAGAGAAAGATAGAGAAAGACAGAGAGAGAGGCAAGAGAGCGCGGCAGTGCTATGGCGTCAGCTCCAACCTGCTCCGAGCGCTGGAAGTATGGGGGAGCGCCTCGATCGGGTTCTCCAAAGAGAGGGGGGGACGCGGAAAGTCGGCGGGCAGCAGCGGGAGCGGCGGGCGCAAGGAGCATCGGATGCTCGTTCTGGGGAGCTTCCTGGAGAGTCCCTTGGTGCGCTCAGTCTGCGTCGAACCTCCGTTGACTTGGGTCGAGGTTGAATCGAGGTAGAGCTCAAACTAAAATCGGGCTAGACATGAACACGAGTCGAACAGATCCGCCAGGTGGAACCCAGGAATTTCCCCGAAACGCGCATGCTCAGGAGCAGGAGGGAAGGAAGAGGAGAGGGAGGACCGGCAAGAGCAAGCAGCACATGGTGGTGCGCACAAGTCGTCGCGGACGAAAGGGGGGAATAATGAAGGGAGGGATTAGCGAATCAGCTGACGTATCTAGCTTTCCGGGCACCTCCGGGAGCAGGAGGCGCCGCCCATGTACCGAGGAAAACGACTGGCGGCATGGCCGCAACCACATGCATGCAGCAGATGTCGTACCCCCCTCTTCCGAATATCCCCCTTCGCTCGGCCCGACAAAAGAAGACCGAGGATCGGGGAAGGTGTCTGGACGCGGGTGTGCCTCTTGGGATCCCGAGCGTGGGACACCCTGGCGCCAAGAACATGAAACGTTTTGGTATACGATGCTCGTCGCCCCGAGAGACGATCAGGACCCTTCAGGTGCCATCCTGGGAACATTCGGGGCGTCCTTGTGTCGCAACCTGCTGCGTCAGACGCACTTCAAGAGGCACTGTGAAGGGGCCCGATGCCCGCTCCCAGAAGGGGAGGGGCCAGTCGTGAGGTCCCCCCCAGTCTGATGGGTAACCTCGCGGTGCAACGGAGACTTGCCGTCAGCCCTCTCGGTGCCTCTTGGCACTCTTTCTCTCTCTCTCTCTCTCTCTTTCTCTCTGGGCCGTCTTGGAGGCCGATCGAGGTGCTACTGACCCATCTTGGCGCGAGCGCCGAACATTTGAACAAACAAACTGCCGCCTTGATTTGCTCAGGACGTCACTGGTCTGAGTCATGAAGAAGGAAAGGGGTTTAGTGCGGGCCTGGTCCTTGCGGTGAATGCGCTCGCCTGACTTGCCCGCTGCTGCGCCGAACTTCGCCGCCTGCGACTTTGCGGTCACGTTCACCAGCGAGCTCCTCTTCACACCTTTGTCGGACGTAGTGTCCTGCGAATGACCAAAGACCAAGTTACTGCACGGGAGGGTGGATCGGAAGCGAGAGGGTGAGATCGCAGCGAAACGGAGAACACCCCACCGGGAAATCCGTGTCGTGCGTGTGGGCGAGGCGATGCTGCGTGGGCGGGCGAAAGGAATGGACCCTTCTCTGGCTAGGGTGCCGCCAGGCCAAAAGACCGCCGCCCCGGCTGTCCGGCGGTGGCCAAGGGTGTCCCATCGGTGTCCCGAGGGTGCCCCGTCGGTGCCCCGTAGAAAAATCGACGCAGGATCGACAATGAGATCGTTAGTGAGATCGATCGTGAGATCGTTAGGGGTATCGATTTTGAACACGATCAGTGCGATCGATCGTGAGATCCATCGTGATATCGATCGGATGAGATCGGCCGTGAGATCGTTAGTGATGTCCCGTCGGTGTCCCGTTGTGACTTCGATAGCGAGGTCGATCGTGACATCGACAATGGTATATGTAGTGATATCGGCAATGACATCGATCGTGCGATGGATAACGGGACAGGCAACAATATCGATGATGAGATCCTCCGTGAAATTGAAAATGGCATCGATAATATAATCGATGACGACATCGATGGTAAGATCGATCATGAAATCCCACCAGCCCTTTGGGCGACAGGTGATCTAACGAGGGCTTCCACAAAACCCCTCTTCCCTTCGGGGAAGGAAACCATCCCCCTCCCCTTTGGGGGGATCGCGAGGTGTCGGAAGGTCCTTTTTCGGTCATTGAGGGGGGGGGGGGGGGGGGGGGGGGGGCATTTTTTTGCCACCCCTCACGTGGATCGTGGCACCCGAGGGGGGGGCGCAAATCGAGTACCCCCTCTTTTTTGACCGACCGCCTCCAAGATGGCCCCAAGAGGCCCTCCAGGGCTTCCAAGAGGCGCCAAAGGGGGCCCAAAGAGCGCCCCAAAAAGCCCCGAGCGGCCTCCCAAAAACACGCGAGAGGCCCCCAAGAGGCCCCCGAGCGGCCCGCGAGGGGCCTCAGATAGCCCAAAATGACCGTGGAACCCCACTCGGCGAGACGAGTCGTCAAAGGAGCATCTGCCAGTGAGAGGCCCTTGCCGATGTCACAGAATACCGCCAAGTGAGAAACCCATGCAGCTCCTGCGGGGGGGCGGCCGCAGGGCGGTGGACGGGCCAGGCAGCGCGGAACATATCGATAAACAGCCTGGCACGCGCGCCCCGGGGGAGCGCTGAGTCAGGGCCGCACCGCGACTGGGGTCGCAGCTAACAGCCGCAGAGATAATGTTGCCATACTGTCAATGGGGTCGCAGCTAACAGCCGCGGAGATAATGTGTCAAGGGCGGCCCGTGCGCCTCCAGCGGGGGGGGCAGCCGCGGGAGGCGGTCGGGACAGTCGATCCAGGATGACTATTGTCAGCGCGCCCCGACGCCCCGGGGGGGGCGCCGAGGCGCGGTGCACCGAAGCGGTCGAATATAAAGTCGAGGTGCGCGGTGTAGCCGCTGAGCCCGCGCCCCGCCTGCGGGGGGGGCAGCCGCAGGAGGGTGGGCGGGCCGGAAAGATCGGTCAACGCGGCTAACAGCTGCAGGGTTAATGAGAAGGCGCAAGGGCCTGAGCACCACCCGCGGGGCGGCAGCCGCAGGAGGTCAACGGGCGAGCCGGCCCAATGAGTCCGTGGCGCGCAGGCCCTAGCGCCCTGGTGGGGGCGCCGAGGGCGCGGGCATAGTGCGAGTGGCGCTCGCAGCTAACAGCCGCAGAGCAAGTAGAGACATGGCGGGCCCAAGCCTCCTGCGAGGGGACGTCTGCAGGAGGAGGGGCGGCCAGGATGGCGCGGTGGCGGGGCAAAGGGGCGGCGAGGGGGGGCGGCTAACGGCCGCAGTCAGCGCGGGCAAAGCGAGAGGCCGCCAGGCGGGAATCTGAAGGGCGCGGGCTATCAAGCTGGATGGCCAGCGAGGGCCAGGCACAAGTGTGCAGGGCAGCGCGGGGCTGCAAAGGGCGCCGCAGGGGCTCTAGCAGCGATGGGGGCCCGCGCGGAGAGGGGCCGACCTTCGAGCCGCGCGCGGCGTGCAGGGGGGGGGCGGCAATCGCCCAGTGGGAGAGAGGCCGCAAAGTGGCGCCCCGGAAGGGGCTCCAAGGCCTAGGACGGGCTGGCAGCCCCAGCTGGGCACGCCCAAGGCGGCATTGGCGCGCGCGAAGGGTGCGCCGGAGGAGCCGACCAGCCTCGTTGGCCAGGGGGGGCTGGGCTCCGTGGGGCACGCTGATGCACAATGCGGGGCGCCCGCGAGTCGTTGCGCGCGCCCGTCTGCGCGGCCTGGGTGGGACTTAGGAATGTACCCAGAGTTGGCGCGAGCCCACTGCCCTCCGGGGTTCCACCGTCTTTGTCCAACGGGGGTCGCTGTCTTCGCGGGGGCCCTTGCCCTTGGCCTTGCTAGGGGTGGCCGCGGTCCTAGCTCTGTCGCTGAACCGAGCGCGGACTGCACCCTAGTTGACCCCCAGACCGAGCGCTGCGTCCAACCTGAAGACATCGCACCTGTGACTGGTCCATTCTTTGAGGAAGCGCACGCAGGAATCGGGGTGCTGACGCGCGGGGTCAGCGCAGATGCGGCCCGACGGCGGGTGATGTTTGGTCGCCCTTTGGCGCCGTACTCCGTGAAGGATGGCCAGGGGCCTGACCAGGGAGCGGTGAGGTCGTCGAGGATGGGTCGATGCGTGCGTGCGAGCGGGCCGACTCCAGCGGTCGTCGTCCTCCCAGCTGGACAACCCAGTCTGTCCAATGGCCGCCGTTGGAGCACTTGCGGCCGGCCTCGCGATGCCGACGCGTGCGGCGCTCGCGCCACCCTTCGCCCCAGACGAACTCATCCCGCGTCGCGTTGGCAGCTCGGGGTTGCCGGAGGATGCTAGGGGAAGGCGGGGCCCCTCGCTCTGGGAGGCGCGCGAGGTTCCCGTCATCTTGCCCAGCAAGCGCAGGGGAGGCGCATGGACCATCGACGGGCGAGGTGGGGCTGCAGGACTTGTCAGCAGCCTCGGGGCTGCCGGAGGAGCCAATCTGCACGACCAGGGGCTCCGAGCCCGGGGTCGATGCACGGGGGCCCCTTGGCGGCCCCGGCGCGAGGAGGGTTTGCCGCCGAGGGAGCTAGCCGCAGAGGTTTCCGAGCAAGCGCCCCCGCGGCCGGCGGTATCGTCGTCTCCAGTGGCGAGGGGGAGGCTAGCCGAGTTGGCCACTTGGTGGGGGGGTCTGCTCGGGGCTACTGGGCCGGCGGCAGATGCGCCAGCGGTTGGGCTCGCAAGCCGGGGGTGGCCATCGTCAGGGGAGCGAGAGCTGGCACGCGGGCGCAAGGAGGACCGGCGCCGCTCCGCACTGGCGTCGCCGGGGAGGGTACCACCACGATGCCCCAGTCGGAGTTCGGGTGCGCGGGCGGCAAAGGTGTGGAATTCTACCGGTGGGTCTGCCGTCTCAGAGTGCTGCTCGCCGAACCGTGCTTACCATTCGATGTCGCTGTGTTCCCTGAAAGGGGTGGTGTCAATCTGTCTGCACAGGTCCTGCGTGATCACGAAAGGGACGTCCTTGGCCAGTTTCTTGAATGACCCGGTGGCGAGTTTATCTTAACTGACCTGCCGCAAGAAGCCAACGAGGGCTTCCAGGGTGTGGCGAAGAGGGGAAGGACCGCGCATGGGCCATTGACCGGCTCGAGTCATTTGGGCAGCATGGTGGAGTCGGTCGAGTGGGCGCAGAGGTGTGCCACCACGCGGGCGGCGGCTAGCCGCTTGCCTTGCCGGCGGAAGTCGTTGGGGAGGTAAGATGGCGCCACCAAGTCGCCGTAGACCCTCTTCAGGCAATGGCGCAGTTGGGGTGGGACCCAGCATTCGGGGGCCTCGGAGCCTATCGCGTTCCTGCCATGGTCCGCGGTATATTCTTCCCACTGGTCGTCCATAACTGGGCCCAGGTCGCGTAGGAAATCGACCAGTCTGACCTCGATGGGCCTAGCGTTCAGGCGGTTCCGTTCCGACTCCTCGACGGCCGCCAGGCGGTCGATGTCGATGTGTTTCAATGCGGGCCCTTTGGGGGGGTCCACATTAGGTAGAAGGTTGTGCACTTCCTCGGATCCGCGCGTTGTGGGGGGGCGTCCGCATTGGTCCGGGGCGATCAGGCCAAGGGCACCTCCGTTCTTGCTGAACGGGACAGGCTTGGTAGCGGAGGCGCGATTGGATACGAGCTCGCTGGATAGCGACGGCTCGTCGGGGACTGGCGGAGCTGAGCGTGGTTTGGAAGTGTGGTGGTGGTGGTGGGGGGGGGGGGGTTGCGAAGGTAGACCAGGCGGGCGCCCTGGTCGAGCACCCCGCTAACCGCGCCGAGCTTGGCGCCCCATGCGTGAGCGAGGGCACTGGCCACGCGTCCAGGCGGCGCCCCAGCGGCGGCTGTTCCGGGCGACGGCGCGGACCTCCCACGCCGGGAGGCCCCCCGCGCTTGTTTGCCGCGACTCTGCGTCAGCCTTCAGTGCAAAACAGCCGAGCGCAAGCGCGCCTGCCTGCCCGGAGAGAGGGGGGCCCTCGGTCGGCGCCCGTCGCGCGTGGCAGTGTAGCACTTGTCTTCAGCTGCCATGTATCCCAATCTGTCGCCCTCTAGCCGCGTGGGCGGCAAGGTGGCGTTGTCATTCTTTGGGACATGGAGGCCTGAGGGCTCCAGAAATCGCCGCGGGCGCCTGGGGTCGCAGGGGGGGGGGCGCCGACAGCGCGCGCTGGGAAGCGGCGGGGGGTGGTGTGTCCACGGGGGGGGGGGGGGGGCTGGAAGGGGTTCCTGGCGAATGCAACGGCCTGCGCCTTCTCGTTGAGAATGGTCCGGGGACAGCTGGCCACCTTGCTTCTCGACCGCGCGTGTCCAGCACTGACCCCCGCAGCCATGCGCAGTCCAACACGTGCGCGCGCAGGCGGTTCTGTGCTAGATGCGAGCGGATCTTGTCGTCGAGCAAGTGCCGTCGTTGTGCTTGAGGCCGGGCTTGTAGCAGTAGTCACGCTTGTAC